TCTTAAAGAGTTATTCTTTATAAAAATTTCAAATATATTTTATTTACTTTTTGAAAAACATATCTATTTCAGCAACAGAACTACTTACAGGTTATTGGATTAGATGATTATGTCATTGGTAAATCTTTGTATTTCACTGCTGCAGCAACAGAGTATTTATAGGCGTTTGTACGTTTGTATGTGTGATTTCTGCTTTCTTACCATAGAAGTTTAACTGAAGCAAATTTAAGATTTTAAGTACAGAAAACAAATCACTTGGAAACTGATTGTGGAAAAAACAAGTTCCAGAACCAGCTCAACAATGTTGGTTCTGTTCAGAGTCTCTGTCTCTTTCATTCGGTTTCTTTCTCTTAATGCATCACTTTTATTCCAGGAAGACATCTTCTCTACTTCAGCTTCCATCTCTCTTCAACTCAAGATGAAAAAAAAATCTTGGACTGCAAAAAGGTTTTACAACATCAAAGGAAGCATCATCCAGTCTATATTCAATCAGATTTCTTTCTCAGCGATACAAAACAGGAAATACAGTTTTCCTAATCATCTATTCATCTGAATTACCTACCTTTTTACAATATAAAGGATGAAATCAGGTGAATAATGTGATGCTTTTCTGTGCCAGTGACCCATTTTACTTAAGTATATTCCCATTTTTTTTTACAATTTTCCCCTCCATTTTCCTTCAAGTTGACTAAAATTGTTGCACAATATTTCTTTCATTCATAACGTTGTTGTATTATTTATAAAGTAAGATATAGTTTAACTGATTCTGCCTTTTCAAAATAAGAAAGCAAAGACAGTATTCAGTTTAAAGGGTTTGATCAACATTTCTTTTTCTTTATGGAAAATAAAACTAATCATCGTGATTGTTGATGTGAGGGAGTTGCAGCCAAAAGAACGCCCTGATTCAAGTTTAAACTGATTAAAACCCGCACAACCCTGCTGCACTTCAAAGAAGAAATGATAGATACCAGATTTTGCACGGATCTTGGGGTTAAAGATAAATGATTAAAGCAGGGTGGGATGTGGGAGAAACTGTGAATCCTAMAAGAGCCGCTCGCTGCAGCTTTCTAGGTAGACGGTGGGAAGACCGTGTGATAGGTGGGACACTTGTTGGATTTCATGTTCTTGATGGCAAATTTGAGCTCCTTGCTCTTTTTGTCCCACTTGTGAATGGACATGAGCAGCAGCTGCTGGTCCACTTTGCGGCCCATGATGAGGAAGTTGGAGCCCAGGTTCTCCAGCTGAGAGCACGGACAGTTGGCCCCGTTCTTAATGTACAGGGTCAGCTTCTTTAAGTCCTTCTTCCTGAGCATGCCCTGTTTCAAAACCTTCTTCTTCTTTTGTGCTGCAATCAGCTTCCTGTCGCCCTTTTCCTTTTTGACCTCTTTGATTTTCATCTTTATGGCTGTAAGAGAGGGAAAAACAAACAAATAAAAAAATACTTGGATTATTTTCACACAACAATCCTGTGAGTGGATCATTTTAAATCTTTCAATCCATTTGAACTTCAAATCRGAGGCTTTTGCAAGTCTCAAAATCATTGCAAACTTTTCCCTTTGCAATAAGCATGTGGTCTGTTTTTTAATGATCTGGCAAGACCCACTGACACTTTACTTTGTATATTTTGCACACTAGCAATCAGAAGGCTGGCCATTTTTGTCATGAGTTTCCAAAATAAAATAAAATAAAATCATGAAACTAACTTTTGCTTAAATAAGTAACAAAGGTTAGGTGAGTTGTTGTTGTTATTATTGGTTAGACTTATTTTCCCACACATTCTCTATCCCCTGAGAAGATGTTGGTGGTAAATCATTTAAATTGGTAAAGTCCAATTGATAAATAATGTGGCAGTCTGATTATTCTGGGTATCTTTAAATACAATAAATACATTTTTAAGTTGAGAATTTGTTTATGTGGTCTGAGTTTTTAAGTAAAATAACTAATCTTATTCTGGAATTTTACTCATTTCATATTGTGTAACTGTTAAAAAAAGTAAAAAAAAGAGCTTAATATTTTTGTGTGAATCTTTCTGGCTAAGAATATGTTTTCTTTATAGACAAACTATAAGAAAAAATGTTCATAAAWTTTTTTTACATCAATTGCCACAGTCACTTATTTTATACAGGACTGCAATCAAAAACAAGATGTCTTATTTTGATCTGAGCAGATTTGACAGAAATTGTGCTAAAATTTGGTGATAATACCTTATCTCACCTACATAACTGCAACAAAAGATCATGCAAAATCCCACGGGAGATTAGACACGTTCTCTTCAAGGTTTGACCAAAACAGCTACTTTGTTGTGAAAGACTGCAGGTAAGATACATTCGTTGAAGAAATGTTTGGCCTTTTAATAATTGTGAGAGATTAAAAGGGAACTGGTAAATGATTTCAGACATGAGTTTTTGGAGAAATTCCTCATAAGTCGGGCAAAGTTTCGGGATGTTTATGAAGCATCTTGTACCTGAGCCTTTTGGAAGATTACCATGTCACTTCTCTCCTGCTAACAAGCTGCATAAGTAACCGTCATTGCACTGTGATATAAATACTAAACATTTAAAAAGATCACATGTTCAACGAGGAATGTGTGCACTGATTAGCTCCTCGTTCACATCCTGACTCTCCAGGGTTGTTGTGGTGAGTGTGTGTTTACCTGCGTGTCTGAGAACGTGTGTTTTTATGAATGACTATATTCACGTGTGAGAATAAAACTGCCACCTTTCCYTTTTTTTCCCCCCTCCTTTTTTCCCCTTAAAAGGCCCACCCGTGTTCAGTCATATTTAGTTCTGAGTAATGTGGTGGGGCCCTTTTGTGCAGCCTGGCCAGCATCTTTGTGACAAGCTGTGCCCACYTCTTCAAACAAACTGGCTCTCTTCTGTGTGAGTGGAGAAAAAGAGAGCTGTCATTTTGAGGAGAAGCAAATTTTCTTCAGGCTACAGCATGGAAATCTCTTTCATCAACCAGGTTTACATGATATGCCAGGACAGACTAGCATCTTAACCCATTTTTTTGTAACTTGCTGTTGGATGGTATTGGGAAATCACACATCAAAACCCGACTGTAACCAAATACAACAAAGCTTTGAGGGTGAATGGCTTCCAAAACTGAATAGAGCAGCATTCACAAACCATGAGCTCAACTATGGACTAAAAGAATAACAATTTAGTTATTTTTGTCTTGATCTCTAATGTGTCTTGCCTTATCTTCATCTCCCTCAAGTCACATACATCTTGGTCATTAAAAATGTTGACTTGGCTGGCTGTACTTATAATTTTTCATTCATATGAAGTGAATAAATATGCCCTCTGATCCACAGAGCTGAAATCCTCTCATGTGAAAAAAACAAGTACATGCAATCCTGCAATTAACTAGAAAAAGAAAGTTTTTTTATTGATTTAACGCTGTGATTAATCATGGAAGATGAGCTTGTATCTTGGCCGTGGCGCAGAGTMTGAAGATGTTTTGTTGTTGCTGGATGAGAGGAGGTATTATTCATATGGGTCGTGCTCAGTGTATTGAAACCACTTTGAAGGCGTGGTTAGTCATGATAGATTATCAAAATTGCTGTCATCATCTTTACTTCAATGCCATGAATCAGAAGAAAGCAGGATATTTAAATAAAAACTCTGAGGAAAAGCAGAAAAATAGCTGATGGAAATTATTTGTATCATTGTTTGTGTTAGTGTTATTAGTGTTAGATCAAACCCTGTTTTCATCATGGGAGAAGAAGTGGAGGTGGTTGAGGAATATAAACACCTCGGTGTTCATCTGGACAACAGACTGGACTGGAGACTCAACATGGCAGCAGTCTACAAGAAAGGACAGAGCAGACTGGACTTCTTAAGGAAGCTGAGATCCTTCAATGTCTGCAGCAAGATGCTGCAGATCTTCTACAAGTCTGTTGTTGAGAGCATCATCTCTTCTGTAGATCTTCTACAAGTCTGTTGTTGAGAGCGTCATCTCTTCTGCCATCATCTGTTGGGGCAGCAGCATCAGAGCCAGGGACCTAGAAAGGCTAAACAACCTGATAAAGAAGGCTGGTTCTGTTCTGGGGACGACTGTGGAATCTCTGGAGATGATGGTGCAAAGAAGGATTTTACATAAAATCAAGAACTTTGTGAACAACCCTGACCATCCTCTTCATCAGARTGTCATAGAAAAACAAAGTGTCTTCAGTCGGAGGCTTCTTCAACTTCGCTGTAATACAGACCGCTACAGAAGATCTTTCCTGCCCACAGCCATCAGCATCTACAATKASTRTTTAGMTAAATGAGTTYCAACAACACCTAATTTCCCTCTGGGATCAATAAAGTATTTTTGAATTAAATTGAATTTGAATTTCCCCTATCAAGAGAAATAACAAAATAACTATAGATTTTATGTTCCTGACAAAAATGCAGTGTGGTGCTTAATGCTGAATGATTGTTGCTGAATAGCTGAAGAACCTGAATCTACCCTAGGTAAAAAAGTAACTGGAGTAGATGAAATTAGCACATAGTAAAATAAAGAGTTCCTTTGCTGAGTTAAGCAGCAAGAAGATAAAATAATCACAAAAAAGTGAAGTTAGCTGAAAAAAGCTCAAACTTTCAAAAGTAGCTAGAACACAAAAAACTGTTGAAATTAGCAGAAAACTACTGAAAGAAGAACAAAAAGCTTAAAATAGTAGAAAGCAGCTGAAAGAGAACAAAAAAATTAATTTAGAAGAAAAGGTCAGAATGATACCTAAAAAAGAAAAACGCTAAAATCAGCAAACACAAATGATGAAATTAGCACAAAGAAGTTAAAAAGCAGAACTACACCAAAAGGTAAAAAGTCCATTAAAGATTTATGACTACTCTGAAGGGGTTTAAGGATGTTGAAAACAGCTCCATTCATTTTTCAATGAGAAAAACATGGCTGAAAATCTAAATATCTCAAAAACTATAAAATGCTGATGTACAAAGGGAATGTCCTGAAGGAGGTGAATGTTTTCATATGTAAATTGTTGAAATAGCACYAAAAGTGCAGAACCAGACATGTGCTGAAAACCGTATGGAATAAAATGGGTCTCAACAGTGTGAATGCTTGATAAGCTTTCACAATATTATGCTTCCAGCCAAAATCTTTACAGGGGAGAAACAGGAACTTTGTGCTGAATAGAAGACCTAACATTATTACAGTGTTACCTTCAGCTTTCGTGCCAGAATTTTAAACTAAAATCATCTTTCATTCAGAAATGACAAAGTAATTTTGGTCAAACCTGGTAAATGACATATAAATAATCTCTAGAAAGAATGAAAAATGTGTTTGCTCTTGGATCAAGTATTGAGGATGTTAAAACCTTTTTTGTGTTGTCTAAGGTTGATTAGCAGTGACAAACCTATTGAAACAGGTCRGCCTACAAAAATAAATGAATTGTAAGTGAGAATTCAAAGATTAATTATTGAGTGTTTTGCTAAAGTCTGTCCAAACGATAATTAGAAATTTAGCTAACAGGCAGTGTTTACTTCCACAGTAAACTGCATGCAGTGTTCAGTGCTTTAAATACAAATTGTAAGTGTAGACAAACTATTGATGCTTACAAATTAAGCAAATGCAGCTGTTCACCCATTGATGTTTTGAYTTGAATTGATGTCTTTATTGTCATTGCACATGAGCACAACAAAATCACAACGCCCATCCAAGAGAGACAAAAAAACAAGGGGGGACAGGTGCCAGCGGCATGAAGGCGCTGCCTTCTATGCATTAGAAAAAAGAAGAATTGCCAACATGGGGATAGGTGAGGAATAAAAAAGAATGTCTCATGCTGTGTCCTCACAGGTCACAATATGAGGTTACAAAAAATAATAAATAAATAAAAACTCTGCAGAGCAAGAGCATCGGTAGGGGTTAGGGAAGGCGGGGGGTCAGCAAAGGCAGTGAGTTTTATTGTCACTGTGTTGCTTAGAAATAAGGCCCTCAGACCTAGGGTTAGGGATTAATTCAAGAACAATATATTGCTGATTCCATCAACATCAATAGAAAATTTGTCAAACAGAATGTTGATAATTTCTATGAACTCTGGTCCAGTCATATCGTCCAGCCCTAACTTACTAATTTACTGAAATTGATTTAACTAAATTGTCTACAGATGGCTTTACTCATATTTTTTCCTAACTTTTGGCTGAAACAAACCCTTAGTTACATCGTGTCCATGAAAATGTAGCCTTTATTTATTTGTTTGACCATTTCTGATACTTACCAAAGTCACTGGCACAGTAATGCTCCATGATGTTTTCTGCTTTCAGCTCGTTGTCACATGGAGGGCAAGCCTTCGACACTGAGGGGATAAAAAATGATATTTATTTTTTTCATCAGTTAAATGTAATCACCTTTTTTTACTGCTAATAAAACCAAATCATCTAACACCTAACATCTGAGCTGAAGTCATATTTAGCCAAGCACAGGCAGTCAGATTAAAGCTGTGGGTATGAAGCTGTTCAACTCGGAGCACTTTTGAGCCACATATTTGCAGCCCCCACCAGCTCCCCTTGTCAGACACGATTTGCTGCGGAGCAAATACTAAGTCCAGCGCAATGAGTGATGTTTGCCCTGCAATTAGACTGGAGAAAATGTTTTTATTCGCTCCGTTGTATATTTTTGGTGGTACAGGCGTGGTCTTGGCTGTGCAGGAAGGTAAACGCTGCGGCGGGAGCCACTGGGGCAGGGTGAAAAGTGATTTCAGCATGCTAGCTAGACACAGGCACCACTTAAGCCGCTCAGCAACCTCACATTGTGAAACAGCGAGGGGGGGACCAAAGCAACAAGTTCCTGTTTATTTGTAATTCCAAATTTATGGTCATGCACGCTTTGCTCAAGACCATGTTTAGCTTTAACCAAAGCCTTACTCTGACATGGGGCTTTGTGATTGTTGTTGCAGTGTATGCACACAGTGGAAGAAAAGCAAAGGCTCTATGTGGATCTTTCCTAATGCATTTAGTTCAATATGCTGTTTTCCATACATGCTACAGTGAAATCTACTTGAAAACATTAAGTAATCCTACACTGAAAACATAACTTGTAAGATTTACTTGAAAAAAAATCATCTAACAAATTTGCGCTAACGTTTGTTAAGTAAATTTAAATGCTACAAATTCATGTAATATTTACTCATCATTATCTAGTAAAAGTTATTAAGAATATAGTTAAAGGTTTGTAAATAAATCAGGTAAATTTTACTTAATTTGCTCAATTAAATCTTATAACGTATACTTGATCAAATTAAGTAAATTTACCAGATTTATTTACAAACCTTTAACTATATTCTTAATAACTTTTACTAGATGATGATGAGTAAATATTACATGAATTTGTAGCATTTAAATTTACTTAACCAACATTAGTGCAAATTGTTATGAGGATTTTTTTCAAGTAAATCTTACAAGTTCTTTATAACAGTGCATATGCATCTAGCACAATATTGTAGCATGACACCTCACAGCTACAGAGAGGTGTAGCTCTTGTTGTAGTTCAAGACTTTACCACCAGGTGGCAGTTTTGAAGAACCTTTATTGGATTCTTCTTCATGAACAAAACAGACATAGTGAAACTCACAGGTCTTATTGATGACTAGGCCTACCACTCTCACTTATGGTTACTTCTGCTGAACGGTTTATCACAAGTTAACAAATAATGAACACACAAATTAGAGGAACACAACAGACTAATTGCTGGAAGAACAATGTTAACCAATTCCCTAAAATGATTTAACAACGACAAACATGAATCCTACCCACAATCCTCCATTGCAGTCACATGACKAACAGCCAAACACAGRAGAATGCWACAARATGCATTCCCTGTTCCCTGACAACTAAATATCATTTACATTATGCCATCAAACTATTGCACACCAACACATGTGTTGAAGCAAAGGAAACCAGACAACTTATGTTTTATTTCGACCATGTTTTGTCCTCTCCTTGAAAAGTGAAGTAAGGGGAGCAGCAGCCTTTGTGTGCGCATGAACCCTCAGTTTTAGCCCAGAAGAGTAGAAGTTACTTAATATAGCCATGTTTATGTGCTGTCCAGAAAAAGTACTTAAATATTACTGGTAAAACAATATTAGCATTTACTTTTTTGTACAGTAATATTGATATATAATATAATTCATTTATGTACTGCACTAGGTATATGTATATTGTTATATATCATGAGTATAGTGTTTTTTGTTTTTTCTTTTACTTATCTTTCTTTATTCTATCTCACCCTGTTCTGTTTTGAGCTGCTGTATTGTGCAAATTTCCCCACTGTGGGATCAATAAAGTTTTATCTTATCTTATCTCTTATCTAATGTGTATTGTTTATTTAGTAAATTCTAGTAGTTTAGAAATTTTGATTTTTTTGTAAAATTTAAAAGAATAATTAAATAAATGTTACTACACCCAAAAATCATTTTTTTTTTCAGTGTAGATTTTCTCTAGAAAACATGATCTGTGAAGGTTTCAGGTTTTAAAAAAATGCACATAACCCTGTTCCGCACATGAAATAGCTTCTCACTAATCTAAAACACACTCGCACAATGAGCCAAGTGAGAGAACAAGTTATAATTTTAGAAAGGCAGAGAAAGACATGCTGGAGGAATCTTCCCCACACCACATATACAGTTCGCTCCGACAAGGAAGACAAATCTGATTTGAGCCGACTCGTCTGAAGGAAAACAGAGCTGACCTTTTGCTGAGTGGGGCCTTTTTTTAGCGTGACTGCTTCTATGAGAGCTACATTTTTCTGTCGTTCACTCACCGCGATATCTAAAATATGTTTTCCCTTAAGTGCTCCCTGCCCCCCACCCCCCCCATCCCAGTCTTCTGCTTACAAGCAAACACACACACACACACACACACACACACACACACACACACACACACACACACACACACACACACACACACA